TGCAAAGTTGGTCAGGCAAATATACATAAAACACATGGGTCTGATACATGTACATTAAATACGTCTTTATTTATTGTTTTCCACATAAGACATATCTTTGAAAAAAGGGTTTTGCATAAAAAAAAAAAAACTTCCAACAGAATATTTTTTACTATATGTAGTACTTCATAGTCATCTTCTTAACAATTTTTCTAAACCTGTGTTTTTGATCAGCAATGTTCCAGTCTGTACAAAATCTCAACAGTTCATTCCTTCAATACCATAACATCAGCATTGTATCATAACACAAACAGGACGTCTCCATAGCAGTAAAATATTCTGGAGAGGGACGTTAAACAGTATACAATCAATCAATCAATCAATAACACAAACTGATTTAAATTGTCTCTCTTATTTTTATAACATCCACTGATCTTTCACCTGTCTAATACTAACAAAGGAATATAGCCAAGGCACGTCATTTCCAAGTTCTATTTATAAAATTCTTAAGAGTTGTCAATGGGGAATCCAAAAACATTATCGGTGCCTGCATCCCGATTTCTGTCGTATGTGTCTCCATCTTCACAGGCATAGGCCTGTAGAGGGTGTTTTGGAAGCCAAGCAACCGTAAACGTAGAAACACGTAATCTCTGTGATTTTCTCCCCTGTAAAATAAAAGAAGATCCATTACTTACTGACTATTCATCTTTTTATTTCAAAGTAAAGAACAAGCTGCAAAAATGTAATTTAAATGAACAGGGTTCTGGTTTCAGAAAGCTACTGTCTGTCTGTTTTACCTGGCCAAGGAGTGTCTCAGCCTGATCATTTTGTGTTCAGACAACTGTAATATACCTCCCTCATTAGACCCAGGATGGAGACTCTTCACCCTGAGCTGTGATTCGAGGGCACCTGTCACTCGAGTTAGCGGGTCAGCTAAGCGTATGTGGGAGTCTCTAACCTTTTACCATTCATCATTTACAAGATTCTAAACTCCTTATTACAGAAAAAAACATTATTCATCACATCCAGTAGACAAATAAGCAGTAAAATCATATAGGCTTATCTCTAAATAATTTTAGCCGGACTTAATAATGTTCAAATGTTTTGACTGACTCCAATAACTAAAGAACAGAGGATTTAGATCTTTAATTGTTTGTATTACTATTAGCATTATAATGAAAAGGATTTTATTTTTTAAAAAAATCAATTTCAAAAGTGAAAAGATCCTGTCTCAAGAGTTAAAGAAAATCAAAAAATCTATATCAAAGCAAAGAAAGTTTATTTCGTTTTAATATCTTTGATGCTCCCTTTCATTTTCTTAATGTTTGGCAATGCCGTTCATTGTGACATCACAGCTGATTGGTTGAGAGATATCATTTAAACAATTGTGAAATTGAAAATCGTAAAAAATGGATATTATAAAGAATCTTTCGGAATAAATTATTTACTTTCAACTCTTTAGCAAGAAGCATTGATTTTCATTTTTAGAACACTCTTCAAGACATCTAGATGAAGTTTTGCAACGCCTTTGATATATTCCAACATATAAAAGTATCACTTTCAAATTATCAATGTTGTTCAATGAATAAATTACTATATTGCACTGTTGAAAATGTAATGAGTGGCATAAAGCCATTTCAGGTTTTACAAAATATCTTTGTGTAATTAAGAAAGAACAAGCTAGAATTTTAGGGTGGAATGGGACTAATTTCTCATAAAACATTAGCATGAAACCAAGATTTTTTTTTGCTTTGAAAATACATTCTGTTTGAGATTACCACATGCAAATATGTAATTTAGGCAAAATGGAAAAAAAATAATTTTAAAAAGTTATCTTAAGACTAAAATCGGGAAAATGTTTTTGTAGTTAATCTAACTTTATCTAGAGAGTTTCTGAAACTTAAAACATGTAACAGTTTAATCCATCATGAAAATAACTCCTCGTATTGCGAAATAATGAACCTATGCTTGTAGATTATTGCCTCTGTAATATCTGTACTCCCCCAGTTTCTCTCTGTAATGTTAAACCGAGTCGACATTAGACTCAATCTCAGTAATACCTTAGTTAGTCTCTATAATATTTTTGATAACCTATTTCAACGTCAAAACTAGAGGTACTGTGTGCAATGAGCTCACTAAATGATACCCCCGCCTCCTAAATGAATATTATGGCAGTATCCATATTTTGCTATTGGACACCCAAAATATATGTCAGATCAAAAAGTAAGAAAGAAGGTGCACAATGGCAGTTTAGATTCTCTGAAAGTCACATCAAATTTCATTCAATGAAATATATAAGAGGAGTTGCGGATAAGAAGTGGGTACCCCAAAGAGTAAGAAAACACCTTTAACAATCACAACTGAGGGACCAAATACATGGACTTAAAAAAATTGTGACATGTAATGAATACAAAAAAGGAGTAAAGTAAATGTACTAATTATATTGAAAATAGTCAACAAAAGCAATCACGACAAAATAAACAACAATAACTATCCTAACTAAGGGAAAAAATTACTAGGTACAAAGAAATTAGCCATCTACAGCAATCAAAACAGAGGGGTCGAATGAACATGATGTATTGTAAGTAGTCATACACAATAATTACAACAAAGGCGTCAAATTTATAGGTGTATGTGTGGGGGGACACCTTCATCAAAAACAACAGAGAGTCAAATGTATAGGATGCAAAGTAAATAGACACATCGTCATACAATGGAAACAAATATACAGGATACTAAAAAAATTCACCTACAAAGACTTGTCAAATGTAGAGGGTAGAAAGGGGAATGACAACTCTCTCAGTACGAGTAAAATATACTGGGTACAAAAATGTATAAATGTAGGACAGTGTATTAGTAGTAGAAGCCAGAATGTGTCACAATATTGTCGAGAAGGGGTCTCAAGCATACAAATATCTAAACATACACGTTCTGTATAAACACTGAAACCTATGCAGTCTGCCTCCCTATAAATTCTGCCCTTTATTTTCATTCCCATTTATCTCTGTTCATGTGCAAACCTCCGTCTATTCCAAAACAACTTTATATTATACGACCGCATGTCAGATTATACAGGACTCACTGTATCAAATAATAGGATCTAAATCTATTATGTTATAATCGGAGTTTTATGAAGAGACTTTCTTTTACATTCGACAGCTGACTTTTACATTTTAGTAATTGGAGTTAGTCTATGTTTAAACTGTAGAAGTCAGTCGTCGATTGTAAAACTAAGCCTCTTCATAAAACTCCATCAATGAATATTACTTTCAATTAAGATCAAAATATGCATTGGTTATCTTTGATTTAGATCTACGCTTAAATGGTCAGCTTCATCAATAAGCCAGTAGTCCACACATCGCCAAAACCATCGTGAAGAAGGCGGACACTTGCCAGCGTCAGGCGTCCAGTATACAAGCCTTAAGATCGGGGGACAGTGTTCTGACGTTGTGGAAACCTTCACTAATGCCCCACTGACCAGTGACCTTGAGGGCCCAGAAGAAAACCCGTTAGCTGTCAGGAGTAACGAGGTGTACTTCTCCTCACACAAACATATGGTAAGGATATTGTGTACAATAAACCTAGTTAAAACTCAGTATAATAAGTGTGAAACCATGGGGGTTAATGTTCATGAGCAATCAAAATTTTATAGATTTGGGGGTCCTGATGTAATGGCTAACTACTTTACTGAATAAGTGTGTTGACAAAATAATTGTTCATTTCTATGTTAATTGATGGATAAGGCTGATCAACACATATGAAATCCATGAAAATTGGTCCGCCATGCACATGGATGATTCCAAAGTTTATGATATGGTCCATAACTGTTTATGCTATTCTTTTCCGTCGTTGTGATCTTGCATTTACATGTATCTTGAGATATTTTGTGATAATTTTGATATGTTTTGACAGTTTGTGGGAGTGTATGATTTTGTTTCATTTCCGGGTAAACATGGCCGACTAGAACTTCCGTTTCAGGCAGGGGAGAGAATCCTTGTGTATGGGGAGGAAAAGTGAATGGATTTTACTATGGAGAGGTAAGATTTCTGTACATATTCTATCACAAATGACTTGTATTTTTACACATCATAAAGAACAGCAAAATCTAAGTGTTGGAAATATTGCCCATGAAATTTTAATTATATATTTCATTGATACGATTTCATAAGAATGACTTGAGTGCAATAACAGAAAAATATGAATTTATACACTAAAGCACAAATATACTGTTTATATCAAAGCAAGCCTCATTTATCTGCAGATATCCAGATTTCTGAAATATTTGGTGCATATATTAATATGAATATCCAGTGAAGCTTCACTTTTTTAAATTGAGTTCAGGTTTTCTTTTTTGCATTTTATGAATGTAAATTGGAAAACTATACCGTAGATAAATTTTATTTATTTGCATTGATACTTCAACCAAACCTGTCAAGCAGTATTGTAGTATTTCTACTTTGTATTTAGATCAATGGACGTCGAGGGTTGGTGCCTGGTTTTTTTTATAGAAGAAATACCCCATACTTTAACAGACAACTCCTAGGTAACTATAACCTACATTCCTTACTGATGGCTGCATAAAATAGTAATGGGGCCCCTGGACCTTTTTAATGAATTTATTATGTGTGTCTTTTCAGTGTCAAGCTTACCACTGTCAGAAGGTTGTGACAGTTTCTATGCAATAATCAACCAATCCATTTACAAACAATTCATGTCCGCACCATTGAGCTATGATTTCTCACTTCTCATTAGAACTTTTTCTTCAGTGCTTTGCACAGTGCAGTCTCCAGTACTTATTAGAGCTCCATCCCACATGCAATGTGTAGGACACCTTTTCATATAATGTATTTTTTAAAGTATACATGCAAGTTTGCAATATACATGTATCTATGAAGTATAATTTATATTTTTATACTTTTCAAACATATTTTTGTTGACTGTAAATTTATATAACATCTGCAAACCAAAGTCAATCATTATATGTAAGCAAAACTGATAAATGTCTTCCATTTAATATGTACAAAATGATATTAATGACATACATTGTAGCACATCTGCTATTTAAGGACTGATTTTTCAGCAGCATTTCTCATGAATTATGAATTCACACTATTTATTTCCCCACCTGATGGCATTTAGCTGTACAAACATGTACATGAATTTCAAGGGCACCTGATGTAAAGATTATCAAAGACAGACTTTGTTAATGCTTTAGTATTGAGTCCTCACATTATGGCATTTATTTCTTGTTATTTCTATGAAGAATACTAGTATTTAATACAATAAAGTATTTAAAACCATTTCCCCCCTTTTTCTGTTGTTTTGTATGATACAGATCCACATGAATTCATCTTTTCTGGTCATTGTTCTCTGTGGTATTTTATGCAGGTAGACTGATCTACCCTTAGATCCAAAATAAAATAGCTGAAGAACATTTAAGAAATCACCTCTAGTCAGTATTTCCATTTCATTGTGAAATAAAATTGTAGATTTAGACTTTAGAATTGTAGACATAGACATACGGTTAGATCCAAAATAAAAAAGCTGAAAAACATTTAAGTAATCACTGTCTAGTTAGTACATATGTTTTTCCATTTCATTGTGAAATAAAATTGTAAATTTAGACTTTAAAATTGTAGACATAGATTTAAATAACAGATGACTCCCATGATAATTTCAGTAGTCCTCGCCCACTGACGTCAAACATACAGGCAAGCGCACGAGATTTACATGCATATTCAGCCTCTTTAGAGACAGATGTGCACGAGATTTGCTTGCACATTAAGCCTGCTTAGCTCATGATCTATCGACCTGCTTAATTTATATTCCGGTACAATTATCAAGAAATCAACTCCGCTAACTTTCAAAGAGTTTTCACAGAGAAAAAAAAATTAGAAATGGAAATATGAGATAAAATAACCCTTCATAATAACTTGGTTTTAATTTATTGCAGATTTTTACAAGCCTCATGTGTTTTTGCATTTGACTCAATACTGTATCACTTTATTATAAGCAAGGGTATACCGTATAAGAATGAGTTTTAGCAAGGATTCAAATCTGGAATTATTAGCGAGGGTGTCGAGAATGTTGATAAAAATCGAGTGCGTTTTATCTGAAATTCTTCTTTAGTTGCAATCTAAAATTGCTAAAATTAAGTATACATATCGCTAAAAATAGAATACATTGTAACGTTAGAGCAAGGATTCAAATTTGGAATCATTAGCGAGGGTGCCGAGATTGCTAAAATGGAAAATCGATAAAAATCAATTGCGTTTTATTTGAAATTAGCATCTTTAGTGTGCATTCTAAAATCAAAACTCACTAAATATAAAATAACAATGACAATGACAATGATTTATTCTCTTAAATGTACAAATATACATTGTAGAGATTAGGTAGGAAAATGTACAAACACATACAAAAAATATTATACATGCATTATAAACAGTACAAAGTATCATGTTCAAGTTCATGTCAATTATTTTCATCTATAATTTGTTTGACAATTAATAAAAATTTACATAATTTTTTCAATGCTGAACAATTTGTTGTTGTAAAAAGTTGCTTAAATTTCTCTATATTTGGTCTACATGTGAAAGAGTTTGAAATATATTTTAACCTAGCCTCTTTAATTTCTTTTTGTGTGCATTCAAAAACATAGTGGAATTCATCACCAATCTTATGAAAATCACATAAAGTACAAATTCTTTGTTCTCTTGGAATACCAAACCATCTCCCAGTTTCAATAGGGAGTTTAAAGTTGCTACATCTAAATTCACATAACAAAATTGAAAATTTTCTAGGTAAATTATCGAGATATCTTTCTGGTTCTAGTATTTTTTTATAAATACGATAATTTACACCCTTTGATGAGTTAAAAACATTACTTTGCCAGTTTTGGATATTTTGGTCAACAAGTATTCTTTTTACTTCATTTTTTACCCATGCTATATTGTACATTTGTTGTGTTGTCCATAAATAAGATAATCCACAATCATCTAAAATATTTTTAACATAGTTAACCCAAGGCAAATTATGCTTTGAAGCTAGAACATACATTTTTGTAGCAAAGAACTTTATTCGGTAATAACCAATATTTGCCCCCCGAATCAAACTTTGATGGAGATATATTTAATTAAGTTTTTAAACAGGGAAGTATATGCTGACTTCAAAGCACTGAATATTTTCATAAGTAATGACGCCATATGTACGTAATGACGTCATAAACATGGCGTAAATTTCAGTTTTTTATGAATTTTACAGAAAAATGTACATATGTCGTCGATATTTTGAGTAAAAGTCACCGAGCGCATGTGTGTTCAAGATCAATATTTTGATATAATGTGTAGAATGATAATATCAATGAAATATGTCAATATTGTTCCTGAACAAACTTGCGCTCTATAAATTTTAAAGCTTAAATTGTTGAAATTTTGTCCATTTTGTCCTCTTTCTGAAAAAGAATATAAAATCGGACTAGTTTGTGACGTCATAAAAACAAAAATTGTGAATATACTGCTTTGACACTTTAATAATTTCTGTTAGTTTATATTTCTCATACAATTTATTGAATTCAGCACATTTCAGGGAGTTTTCAAAATTTGACTTTTGTGGGGGCAAATATATGCAATATACCGCATATAGTTCTTTATCCATCGTTTGAGAAAAATGTAGTTTTGCCCAAAAAGAAATCATTCTCACCTTAATATTAATGATTAGTGGGAATCTGCCAAGTTCCCCATACACCATGTAGTTTGACGTTTTTGTGTTCAAACCTAGTATAAATTTACAATATTTTAAGTGAATTTTTCGATTAAAGTATTTTTTGTAAATCCCCATATTTCACATCCATATAATGGTTGTACAATTCTGTCAAACAAATCTATCTGACAATCCATAGAAAGATTATGTTGTTTACATTTTGATATCACTCCATACATAGCTTTTACAGATTTATTGTATTGTTCTTTTATATTTTGATTAAAAGAACCTGATTTTGAAAAATATATTCCTAAGTACTTATAACTATCAACAATCTCTAAACTTAAACCATAATATGTAAAATATAAATCTTGTTTTATTCGACCTCTTCCAAAAATCATTATTTTTGTTTTGTCAACATTCACTTTTAACCGCCATTTTATACAATACAGTGGACCTTCAGATATCCAGACGCCAGATATCCGGATGCTTCACTATCCAGACGATTTTTCATCGGAACGAAATTTTTAAATGTTATTTTGTCTTGTTTAACTGGTGATTCAGATATCCGGATTATTCACATATCCGGACAAATTAAATAGGATCCAAAGCGTCCGGATAAATTAGGGTCCACTGTATTCATGAAACTAATTCAACATATTTTGTAATGACTCAGAGTTTTTAGCAAATAAAACAGTGTCATCAGCATACAGCAGAGCAAAAAGCTTAATATACACATAAAGTTCATTCTCAATCATTTCAGATATTTTCTCTAAACCAGTTATATCATTCATGGTGAGGAATGATTCTAAATAATTCTAAATCATTTAAATAGAGCGAGAACAAAAAAAGGGGATAAATTTTCACCCTGTCTTACACCAAGTTGACAAGGAAAAGTATCTGAAAGAACACCATTTACTCTTATTTTTGCCTTGATACCCTCATACATTTTCTTGATTATTCTAAAACATTTTCCATCTATATTACAATCAAATAGTATTTTGTTCCAGAGTCCTATTCTCCATACAGAATCAAAAGCTTTTTCAAAATCAATAAAGGCACAATAAATTCTTTTTTTTTTTATCTTTTTGAATATTTCGATGATTGTATGCAAAGTAAATATGTGATCAGTTGTACCATAATTTTTTCGAAATCCAGCTTGGTTTTCTTGTATTATTTTGAATTCTGAATATCTACTAAGTCTATTATTTAAAATGGATGTAAATAGCTTTCCAATACAACTAATTAAAGTTATTGGGCGATAATTTTTGGGTTCAGTATCATCACCTTTATTCTTATAGATAGGAATTATTTCACCAGACAACCAATTGGAGGGGAAACAACCACTGTCAAGAATTTTGTTGAATATTTTTTGATAGAGGGGCACCATTATGTTGCATGAACTTTTAATATATTCATTGTATATGTCATCACTTCCACATGATTTGTTTCTTTTTAGACTTTTTATACTTTGCATTATTTCATCACAAGTTATCGATTCATTTATAGACTCATTACACTGTAAATTAGAAAGAATATCTATATCCTCATTCGATAAAACATAGTCAGGTATTTCATTATCTTTTTCCATATTTAAATCTTTAAAAAAATCATATAATTCCTCAGCAGATGCATTTACATTTTTTTCTATTTTTTTTTGCCCAGAGTTTATTATTTTCCAATATTCTTTCGGGTTTGTTGATTTTAGTTTTTTCAATTTTTCTTTCGTTTGATTTTTATGGTTATTTACACACATATTCAACAATATTTTATATATTTTTTCTTTACTATACATATCGTCTTTGAGATCTTTACTTCTATTTATCTGGTAGCGTTTTTTAGCCTTACGAAATGTTTGTCGTGCGTTGTAACATTCTATTGTAAACCATGGTAGGTGAAAATCTATCTTTGATTTTCTTCGATTACTATTTTTTATCCCAAATGTTCCCTTTGCACTTGATATAAGAATGTTACAGGTATCGTCTACAATTTTGTCAACAAAATCTAGATCAATTTCTTCTTCTTTAATATTGTCAAGAATTCCAAATAAATTGTTAATTTCAATATTTTTCTGACCTAATTTTTCAAGAAAAATGTGTTGCAAGTCGTCATTTCAACCTTTAGCATTCTCTTTTTGTTCGCTATTACAGGTATTTTCATCATTAGTATTTCGTTTCTCTTGGTTAATTGTCAATGATAGTTCTACATAAATAGGATTATGGCAATCAGAGTAAAGTTTCGAAAAATCATGAACTTCGAAATTTTTAACAACAGTCAAAAATTCAGTATTACCTATGCAATAATCTATTACACTAATACCTTTACATGTAGTTTTACCAATACATCTATCATTTCCCATACGACCATTTAAAATAAAAAGATCAGTATGTTTACAAAAATCGAGTAAAAGTTTACAAAAATTATTCTTGACTAGGTCTTTTGATGACCGTTGCGGTGGGATATTAAGTAAGTCTAATACATACAAACTTTCAGTTAAAAAATCAGAATAAGTGCCACAGTTAGTAATGTAATCTGGGTCTATTCCAGTTCTTGCGTTAAAATCACCAATTAAACAAACATATTTACACTTGTTAGAAAAACGAACATATTCTTCTTCCAATTCTAGATCTTCAAAAACATCACAAGATACAGATTTAGAATTTTTAGGTGGTATGTAAACAGCGCCTAAAAGTAATGTTTCACTTAACACTTTTTTATTAAGGTTGAATTTTAACCATAAACAGTATTTACTTGCAGAATCTATTAATTCTAATGAATTGACGAGTGTTTCTCTAAGAAAAACAACAATACCACCCGATTTAAAGCGAACTAACTCGCGACGGTGCTTTCCAAACATTTTAAAACCAGGTATTATTACATGATCTGTGTTATCGGTTTTAGATTCATTTACGCATATGATATCATAATTTGTGAGATATTCGATAAATTCTGTACAGTTAATTTTACTTATTAAACCACAAACATTAAGTGAAACAATTTTAAAAGAGGTTATGAATATAAATCGTAAACTTTGCATCTCGTTAAAATTTCGTCTTGTATGGTATTTTGGAAGATGCATGCACCTATTTTATTATGTTAAAACAAATAGTCTATATACAAATGATACATACACTGTAAATGTGGTTAAACTGTGAATAAGTTTGACTTTGATAAAAAATTAGAGAATTACTCCTAAATCAAATACAGATATATCGAAGTAAAGTTTAATGTTTCTTGGTGAAGATTAATTTTTTCTAAAACTTTTGTAATTTCAAACAAATGAATTCAATCAGAATATACGTATATAATATAAACATTTTGATATGCCCTTCTTCGCATCCTATCCATAGGAATGAATTCGGCAATAATTTTATGTATTTTACGTTTTTTAACTTTAAACTTAACTTTAATAAAATCTTTGATATACTCTTATATATGTGAAGGAATTCCTTAATAATTTATGTATATACCGGTATACAGTATTTCATTTTATAATTCGTACTGAAAAACTTTGACAAGTCCATCATGGTATCCCACCCACAGTGTAGACTTGTATAGGGACAGTAAGGATGTATGGCTCACTTCATTGTCTGTCTGTAAGAACTTCAGGAACTTCCCGTCAGGACTCAGTAGATGGATCGGTTTGTTGTTAAAGTCAGTAACAAGGATGTTACAGAGAGAGTCGCACACTACATCAATTGGATTAAAGTTCCCCTCTAGGTTCTGTCCACGGTAGACAGACTTCATGTAGCCAGAAAGAGACATAATCAGTAGTTCACCTGTAGTGAGACCTGTATGGTTCACAACACAAATATCACTGTTACTGCTCTGTGTGACTCTGAATGAGAATGTAAACAGTCTGGTATGACCGTCCTCCTGGTACTCATACTCATGGATGACATCACCTGTCACTGTGATGTGTCTCACCAGACGTCTGCTGTGTGAATCCAATTGGTAAAGATCTGATTTTGTGTCTCTCAAGGTGACCAGTAGTCCACCGTCCACTGACTGACAGATCCCCATTGGTACCAGTGGATCTGTACTGATGACTGTAGAGACAGATCCTGATGATGACAGACAGCTGATGGATTTGATAAAGAAGTCAGTAAAATAAACATCACTAGTATCAGTCACACACATGTCATTAGGAGATATACCAAATCTATGTTCTATTACACCTTGCTGATTGACTTTTACTATATAATTTGAATCATATACTTTTATGTAACATTTGTCTTCACCGATTGTCTCCAAAGCATGTATTGTTTGATCTCCAGATTGAAAGAAATTTATCTGTGACACACCAATAACATCTAAATCTAAAGTTCTTCCAACCAAAGATTCAAGAAGTTCATCATTGATTTCACCTCTAATAAACCTCACTGAATGTTTACAGTTTGTCAAGCTAGTATTAACCTTCAATTCAGACATCATTGAATTGAACAGAAAAATGATACAAGTTCAAGTATGAATTAATTCATTGGGTCAAGCCCCAGTCATATCAAAGCTAATTCAATAAAATATGAGTGGTAATTTTTCTTTTGGCAATGGCTTACATTTGAAGGGAAAGTTGCACATCTTCCAGATTGGTCAATTGTTCTGAAAGCTGAGGAAAAGTCTTTATTTGAAGCCTTCATTGAATTAAAGAAACATCTTTACAAATTGCAGCCAAGGTCAGCAATTTGTAAATATTTAATTGGAAATAGGACCTGCAGCAAAAACTAACATGTTCACTCAACTGGAAAATGTAGGTCAAATTCTGCAACCAAAAAAGCTTGGCAATGTGCATCCTTAGATTCATTATATACCTAATATGTATCACCCAATTCTACTGTTGAATTTACGCTATCACGTGACGTCGTGATCCGATTTTCCGGATCACCAACATGTTGTTTTCTGAATCCATATCACCACTCTTTGAAACTGATGACGTAGTACGCAGAAATATGACGTTATTTTTCTTGCGCGTTAAAAAGTCCCGTGTTATTATGCTTTGTTTTATGGATAAATGTTATGCAATTGATCTCTAAAGATTTCTTTTGCTATATTTTGCTAGTTATGAGGAGGTATATAATAAATTTATCATTATAACAGTAACTTGATCCGAAGAGCCGTATCACGTCTCGTTGACAGGCGCGGATCATCAGATCAAATTACTTTAAAACGGGGAGAATTCAGAAAATACAGTATTATTTCTTAAATAAAACTATTACTGGGCTAATTTAAAATGGAGCAAAATTGACTACAAGTGTAAAAGGGCAAACATAAGCCTGTAAACATTACTTTTTAGTACTCCTTGTCTCTCTGTTGTCAATTGCACTATCCATAAAGTTGTATAAGAATTTTTGTGTTTTCCTATAGAATGGCCATCTCTTAATGAATATACAATATTATTAATTTAATGAATGACAAATTGTGTTCAAAGACTGAAGTCTTATTGCAATTGATTGCTATGTATTTTTATAGCAGTGTCTGTGTTGAAAATAATTGAAGACACATCATCAGAAATGGTGAAAATGATACTTGGAAAGCATAGTAGAACTGCAAAGTTGGACAAGGCAAATCTACATAAAACACATGGGATACATGTACATTAAATATGTCTTCATTTATTGTTTTCCACATAAGACATGTCTTTGAAAAAAAAGGTTTTGCAATTAAAAAAAACTTATAACAGAACATTTATGTACTACATGTAGTACTTCACAGTCACCTTTTAACAATTTTTTTTTAAAAACCGTGTCTTTGATCAGCAATGTTCCAGTCTGTACAAAATCTCAACAGTTCATTCCTTCAATACCATAACAACAGCAAATTGTATCATAACACAAACTGATTTCATTTGTCTCTCTTATTTCTGTAAAATTCACTGTTCATTTCTAGGTCCAATGTTTATCAAGGAATATAGCCAAGGCAGGTCTCTCCCAAGTTCTATTTATAAAATTCTCAAGAGTTGTCACTCGGAAGCCCAAACACTTTTACAGTACCAGCATCTCGATTTCTGTCATATGTGTCTCTATCATCGCAGGCAAAGGCCAGTACAGGGCGCTTTGGGTGCCAGGCAACAGTAAACGTAGGAGCTTCACAGGTAATCTCTGTGATTTTCTCCCCTGTAAAATGAAAGATGATTCATAACTCACAGTCTATGTTTTCATTTCAAAGTAAAACAACAGGCCCACGGGCCTTATAGGTCACCTGAGTATCATGTAACAACTTTCGCACAATTGAATTTGGTTCATGTTTTAAACCAGAGGCTATGAAATTCACAATTTTGAAAGAGGCACCATTGCTTATCATAATTATACACTTAGCTTACTAACTCTAGTTACTAAATACCCAGAAGTAGATCAGAGTAACAAAGAAAAAATGCTCTTCCAACTGATAACCAGTTGTGCACCCCACCCCAAAGGAACCACTGACCCTGAGGCCACTTATTTCAAAATTTTGGAAATTTTATCATAAATTTTATTTCATCAAAAATGGTTGATTAATACTCAAGAGCAGATTTCAAAGCATTAACTTATTTTCAGACTATGTAGATGTAACACCCCCCCCCCCTACCCCTGACACAGGGAGCATGGAATTTACCAATTGATAGAGGCACCTTTTTTCATCTTAGCTATATATACTTAGATCATTGGCATAATACCCAGGTGCAAACGAAAAGATTTTCAAAGAATCAAAGTATTTTCACTATAGAATCAAAAGACTCCACTTACGCAAAATGGGTAAACCCCTGACACAGCTAGGAGCCATGAAATTTACAAATCAGGTTGAGGCACTCTTGCTCATTATAACTATATACTAATTTAGTTTATTTCATACCCAGGAGCAGATTTTCAAAGAACTGTTTTTTTCACTATATAATAAATAGTGCCACACCCTAACACCAGAACCCTAACCCTAGGACCATAAAATTCACAATTTTAGTAGAGCCACTCTTGCTCATCATAACTATGTACTTAGTTAGTTTATTTAATACCCAGGAGCAGGGAAGAAGATTTTCAAAGAAATAATGCATTTTCACTATAAAATCTATATAGCCCCGCCCTTGCATCAAAATCCCTGACCCTGGGGCCATAAAATTCACAATTTTGGAGGACCACTCTTGCTCATCATTACTATGTACTTAGTTAGTTTATTTAATACCCAGGAGCAGAGAAGAAGATTTTCAAAGAAATAATGCATTTTCGCTATATAATCTATATAGCCCCGCCATAACACCAGAACCCCTGACCCTGGGGCCATAAAATTCATAATTTTGGTAGAGCCACTCTTGCTCATCATAACTATGTACTTAGTTAGTTTATTTAATACCCAGGAGCAGAGAAGAAGATTTTCAAAGAAACAATGCATTTTCGATATATAATCTATATAGCCCCGCCCTAACACCAGAACCCCTGACCCTGGGGCCATAAAATTCACAATTTTGGTAGAGCCACTCTTGCTCATCATAACTATGTACTTAGTTAGTTTATTTAATACCCAGGAGCAGAGAAGAAGATTTGCAAAGAAATAATGCATTTCACTATGTAATTTATATAGCCCCGCCCTAGCACTAGAACTCCTGACCCTGGGGCCATAATTTTCAAAATTTTGTTAGAGGACTCAATGTTCATTACATTCATACCAACAGTTTGACTGATTGATGTCCAGAAGTAGAGAAGAATTAAGATTTTTAAAGATTTCATTATTTTTTGTGGTTTTGGCCCCACCCCTCAGGCCCCAGGGGGCGGGGACCATAAAATTCACAATTTATGTTTCTCTTTACCCATAGATGCTGTATACAAGATTTGGTTGAAATTGGTTCAGTGGTTTCCGAGAAGAAGCTGAAAATGTTCAAATGTTAACGCACGACACACAACACACAACACACGACGCACGACGACGGACAAAAACGGATAGCAATAGGTCACCTTAGTGACTCAGGTGACCTAACAAAAGCTGTAAAAGATGTCATTCAAATTTTTTTGATTTCTGGTTTCAGAAAGCTATTGTCAGCATAAACTCAGCAACACTTATCCGCCTCTCCTAACCTGGTGACTGGTTGTGACACTGTTGTTTGTCTATCTGTCTGTTGCACCTGGCCAGGTTGTGTCTCAGTGATCAGATTGTGTTCAGACAACTGTTATGTACCTCCCTCATCAGACTCTGAACAGAGACTCTTGACCCTGAGCTGTAATTAGGGGGTACCTGTCACCAGAATCAGTGGGTCAGCTAAGTGTCTGTGCCAGTCTCTCACCTTTTACCATTCATCATGAACCAGATTCTAAACTCTTTATTACACATGAACATTAGATGAAACTGTGTGTTGTGATTTAGTGTACCTGAGTCCACCTCTGCGATGTCTATGATGAGATCTTCTGAGGCCGCCGAGGCCAACATTCTGCCGTCATGACTGAAGCTTAACGTTCTCATGGGCCACTCCAACCTGAAATATACATGATGATTCAAAATAAAACGTTTCATCTTTTAGTAAATTCTTTTGAAAAACACATGAAATGAAAATGTCTTGGAATGAGGAATGCAGACTTATTAGTCCTATTTTAAAGGTACTTGGACACAGATTTGAAGTTAATATTTTCTCTATAATATTACAACTTATATATTTTAATAGCATTTCACACAAAAATTAATTAAAAATATTATTTCATTTAAAAGTTATTAAAACTTTAAATTTTTTGGCGGGTTTGATTGACAATTCCTCCCCCTTTACAATTCTTATTCTTAATTTTTATTCTTAATCCTTAGGAAAAGTGGCAATCCTGATGTGTATTAATGAAAAATATAAAAACTATAATCAACAAAAATTAGAGTAGACAAGTAATAAAGCAAAACAAACACACAATATATTGTCAGTCCGTGCAGATGTGGTGAACAGACTTTGGCAATTTAACGCACCCGATGAATCGTAAACACCAAACAATAACATGTTTACAAAAACCTGTGTACATAACACGAGTGTGATCGATTCGCAAAACTCTGTACACAACGGAATTACGATACTTGTGAAGTAGTTCTACTTTCTAATTTCTACTCTGAATAAAATTATTCTTCTTGATTTAACAGTCCGGTCCAGTCCAATACGAAGATTCGTAATATTACGAAAAAACGTAAGATTATGAGAAAGCGTAATATTACAAGTTATTAGTTATTAACAAATTAAAAACGCCAGTGATATTATTAATAGTTTCTAATGTTTCATAGGAACATTTTTTTTTACTCTGCACTCCATTGATATGATCATAGATTGACATGAACCACGTGTTCGAAGTAACATGTAAACATGTATTTGGCGTTGCTCGTGGTAAGATCCTCTGTGCGCATCAATAGCAATAGCCGTATAAGGCAAACAAAGGTTTGTCAGTGTAAATGATATTATACACATTTTACAAGCATCTCGGTCGCTAGTGAGCTGTAATTTTTGCAGTTAAGTATAGGATGTATTAATTGTTATTTACCACCACCCCCTTAAGCCACCTTAAGTCTTTCAGAAAGGTGTGCAAACACACATTTTTCACAGGACATGTTTCAGAAGAAACAGACTATAGCAATTTACTGTTTTCTGCCAATTTTATTTATAAAACCGGATCTACCCTATAACCTTTGAACAGGTAAATCTAAACCACGTGTCTTGAATTTAAATCACAATAACATTAGTAGGGGTGATCTCAGTCTGATCAAATTGTGCTCAGACAATTATAATTTACCTCCCTCAATAGACTCAGGAGGAGGACTCTTCACCATTAACTGTGATCGGGAGGGGGCACCTGTCACCAGTGTTAGCAGTGTCTGTGTGTGTCTCCAACCTTTTACTTTAAAAAATATGACAATTTATACATGTAAAGAGGTATCAAAGTAACCTTGAAGATTCTTCGGACAATTTTTATTATATACTGGTATTAAACACTTCATAATAAATTTTTTAAGTTCCAAAGTGAAACACTTTGACAATTCCTTCACAGCATCCCACCCACAGTGTAAATTTGTATAGGGATAGTGAAAATGGATGAGTCGCTTCATTTTCTGTCAGTAAGAACTTAAGAAACTCCCCGTTATGACTCAGCAGATGGACCGGTTTGTTTCTAAGGTCAGTAACGAGGATGTTGCAGAGGGAATCACACACTACATCGCGTGGACAAAAGTCTTCTGTTAGGTTCTGTCCGTGGTAGACAGACTTCGTGTAGCCAGATGAAGATATATTTACTAGATCACCTGATGTGCGACTTGCAAGATTCACAACACAGATGTTATCGTTACTGTTTTGTGTGACTCTGAATGGGAATGTAAACAATCTGGTCTGACCGTCCTTTTGGTATTCATACTCACGGATGACATCACCTGTAACTGTGATGTGTCTCACCAGACGTCTGCTGTGCGAGTCCGATTTGTACTCATCTGATTCTGTGTCTCTCAAAGTGACCAACAGTCCACCGCCCACTGACTGACAGGTTCCTACTGGTACCAGTGGATCTGTACTGATGACTGTAGAGACGGGTCCTGATTGTGACAGTATATTTATTATTGTAGTAAGAGAAATATATATCGCCGGCATCAGTCAAACACATGTCTGATACAATATCTATGTTCTTTTGTTCCTTGCAGATGGACTTTTTTTATACATCTGGAATGAAATTCATATATGTAACATTGGTCTTCACTAAATGTTTCCAAGGAAAATATTGTTTTTTCTGCATATTGAAATGAGATTATTTGAGTTACACCAATATCTAAATCCAGAGTTCTTCCAACCAAAGATTCAAGAAAGTCGTCGTTGATTTCACCTTTGGTAAATCTCACTGACTGATCACTGTTTGTCGTATGAACTTTTAACTCAGACAAAAGGTTTGACAGTTCTCTGTGGTTGTCAATCAAGCTGTAATCTGACATGGTGCTGTTGTTCTCCTCCATGAACTCTAATGTGTTAATTTTTTTTTCTTCATCTCTAACTGAGATATCACATGGTTCAGTTGATCTTTCTTCTTGACCAAATTGTCTCTCAATTTTCTTTCATGACGTTGTATGATTTCTGTCAGTCTGGTAATAATTGCAACATAATGTTTCTGTAATTTTTTAATCTCAGAGTCACACAGTTCTTCATTTCCTTGGTATGCTGTGCCACCATTTCCATCTATTCATCAATTCCAGGAAGGTCATCTTCTCAGTGGCTGCCGTAGGTATAGTTTTCCAAAATGTAAAAAGTCTTTTTTTTACAATTATAATTTTTCTCCAGAAACAGTTGGTCATTATAAGCTGAAAATTGCCATAATGTATACGTAATAAAACATTTAAGTTCGCTCCAATTGAGCACCACTACCTTCTTTCAAGGAGATATAAATTGAAATTTATGTGACAACTTTCATACACAGTGTTAATTCAAATTTTATTCGAGTACAGAGCCCCTAAGTGGAAAAGGGGTTAGACTACATTAGGCATTTAATTATTTTTTATATAAGAAATACCAGAAAAAGCAGATCTTGATGAGTTTTATCCATGAGATCAAATTGAAGCTGTTATGAACTATGACCCCTTGAACTGATGAAGCCACGAAAGTCGAAACCTTAGCAGCGAGGACTACAGCTCTCCTGGGAAATTAACAGAAAATAAAATGTAAAACCTTATTATTAAAACAGAAGACCTAGGCTTTATTATGTACACTAATAATCAAATAATCTCAAATTAGGCATGCAGATTTATAATTATTCGAAACATTATTCCCTGGATTTGTTTGTTTGTTTTCTTTTTTGTTTAAAGTTTTCGGGAATTTTTCATTCATATGGAAAGGCTCGGATTCAAATTAGATTTTAGAGTTTTTTGTATCATAATAAGAAATTGGTTGTTTGACACAGTTAGATGAATTCTATTCTTTTTTTAAAATCTTAAACCAAATCTGTCAAGTTGTATAAGAAGTTTTTCAACCGGTATTTTAAGATTAATAGACAACATGCATTGTGCATAGTTTCTTTATAGAATTCAGAGATTCCCTACACTTTAACAGAAAACCCCCTAAGTAACAAAAACCTAATTTTGATGGCAGTATTAAGGATGATACCCTTGGTCATTTTTAATTAATTTATTATCTTATCAGTGTCAAGCCAACGCACCACTGCCAGAAGATTGTCGCAGATCCTTTACAATATGAAGAATTCATCTATTGCTAGAAAAATTCCTGTCATTCATTAATCAATTTATTAATCTCATTAGACATGTTAGATACTTTTATTTATTTTCCACTATACAATTTTAACTTCAGTGCTGTTTTACACTGCAGTCTGCATCAGAAGTCCACCTTATATTTTGAGGAAAATAACGTTATGTTTAGGATTTTCAAATACATATAATGCATTGTTTAAAGTAAACATGTAACTTTGCAATATACGTGTGTCATCTATTAAGTATAATTTTAATGTTTATATTTTTCAAACATATTTGTTGACTGTGAATTTTTATAACATTGCTAATGCAACCCAAAGTCAATCATTATGTGTTAGCAAAACTGATGTTTTAAATTTATATGTGTACTAAATGATATTAAGGACATAAATTGTCCGTATTTACTCTGCTTCTATTTTTGTATTGTTTTATGGACTTCGATATTGAATACTATTCGTTATCTCCATATCCTTCTTGTAGCACATCTACTATTCAAGGACCGGTTTTACAGCAGCATTTCTCATTAACTATCAATTCGCACCATTTATTTTCCCACCTTTGATGGCATTGAGCTGTACAAACATATACCTAAATTTCAAGGGCACCTGATGTAAAGATTATTAAAGACAGACTTTGTTATGACAGGTCTTTACTGTTCAGTCCTCGGATTATGGCATTTATTTATTGTTATTTCTATGAATGGTATTAAATACATTAAAGTATTTTAAACCAGTTTTGCCTTTTTCTACTGTTTTGGTGATGCTGTAACTAGCACATTAATACATGCACAATTTACTTGTAAAAACCATGAGTTTCGTCTTTTCTGGTCATTATTCTCTGTGGTATTTTTAAGCAGCTAGAGTGATCTACGCTTAGATCCAAAATAAAATTGCTGATGTACATAATATAAAGTCAGACCTGTTTACTCTTACGATTTCGCCGCATTTTGAACGGATTTTTAATCCAAAATACGTCTTAGGTTTTGCTATTATGAAAATATTGAAATAAGAAATACACTTAGTTAGAGTTGAAAAGTAAGTTTTCGTTATTGTCTGTCCCAGTTTTACGATTATTAAACACAGTTATGTCTGTTTGCCAAAACACCGTGGTATAAAATGATCAACAACACGTTATTAAACATGCATGTTTTAGAAAACCGAAAAAGCAGTTGTTTTACATTTATATAATTATGTAAAATTTATAGAACGTAAAATCTTACTGGCAAATGTCAAATCTCACGGATAAATCTAATCAAGAATATTGAGAGACAACGATATATGTAAACCGGTCTGTATAAAATAACCCTGCAGAGGAACTTTTAATTTATTGCAGATTTTTCACAAGCCTTATGTGTTTTGTAGTTGACTCAATATCACTGAATTATAAGCAAGGGTATACTGTATAAGCAGAAGTTTTAGCGACTTTAGGATTTAAGTATGGCATTACACATTGTAAAGTGAGGGTGTGGAGATTGCTAAAATGGAATGTGCATTTTATTTGAAATAGTTTACTGTGCATTCTAAATTTGCTAAATTTACACCTCGCAGAAAATAAAAAACACATTTTGAGGAGCTTTTCGCCAATATTTCCACTTGTATACGTTATTTTGGAAAGTAGATGTACCTATTTTTATTATTCTAAAACAATTAGTCAATATACATACACAGTATTTATTAAAATGTGAATAAGTTTGACTTTGATAACAAAATCTGAGAATTTCTCTTTTAATGTATACAGATGTAGCAAAGTAAAGTTTTTAGTTTCTTGGTTAAGATTAATCTTCTCTACAACTCTACAACTCTTGTTATTTCATACAAATGAATTATATCAGATTATATAATATATAAAATAAAAACATATTAATATGTCTTTTTATGAATTTTATCCAGAAGAATAAAGGAATAAATTCCACAATAGTTATTGCACTAGTATTTTACATTTTTAAAAGTTAAAAAAAAAAATGAAATGCTTTTACATGTGAATGAATTCCTTGATAATTTATGTAAAGGTATTTTTCATTTTATGATTTGTACTTAAAAACTTTGACAAGTCCATCACGGTATCCCACCCACAGTGTAGACGTGTACAATGATAATCTAGCTAGACGGTTTACTTCATTGTCTGTCAACTTCAGGAACTCCACCGTTAGGACTCAGTAGAAGGATCTGTTTGTTGTTAAAATCAGTACCAAGGATGTTACAGAAGGAGTCACACACTACAACATATGGATCAAACTCCTCTCTCAGGTTCTGTCCACGGTAGACAGACTTTATACGACCAGACGGAGACAGAATCACCAATTCATTATTAATAAGGCTTGTAGCATTTGCAATACAAATATCGCTGTTTCTGTTCTGTATGACTCTGTTTGGTCATGTAAACAGTCTGGTCTGACTGTCCTCCTGGTACTCATACTCATGGATGACATCACCCGTCACTGTGATGTGTCTCACCAGACGTCTGCTGTGTGACTCTAATTCGTGATTATCTGAGTCTCTCAAGGTGACCAGTAGTCCACCGTCCACTGACTGACAGATCCCATCTGTACTGATGACTGTAGAAACAGATCCTATAATGGTTACAGACGCCTGGTGGAATCGTTACTAACGTCAGTGAAATAAACATTACGGTTACTATTCACACAGATGTCATTAGGATCAATACTAAATCTACTTTCTTTTACATCTTGCTGATTGATTTTTTCTATATACATGCATTTTATATTAAAATCAATTATGTAACATTGGACATCACTGATTGTCTCCAAAACGTGTATTTCTTTATCTCCATATTGAAAGGAGTTTATCTGAGTCACACCAATATCATCTAAATCTACAATTTTTCCAACCAAAGATTCAAGTACTTTATCATTGATTTCACCTCAAGTTAAGCTCAATGAATATTTACAATTTGTAATATATGTATGAACTTCCAATTCAGGCAGCATTTTCGTTAGTTCTCTATGGTTGTCAATCAAGCTGTAATCTGACATGGTGCTGTTGTTCGCCTACATGAATTCGTCTGTGTCAACAATACCTCTCTTCTTCTTCTCTAACTCAGATTTCAGAGATTTCAGATAGTTTAGTTGATCATTCTTTTTTTTTACTAAATTGTTTCTAAGTATCTGTTTATGGTGTTTTTTACATTTCTGTCAACCTGTTTATAATATCTTCACAATGTTTCTGTAGCTTTTTAATCTCAATGCCAAACAGTTCTTTATTTTCTTTGATCTGTTGTGGAATTTTCTCCATCTTCTCATCAATCCTGAGCAGATCATCTTCCTTGATCTTCTTCAGAAATCTAGGCGACATCTCCTTTCGGTGGCTGTCAGAGTTTTCCAGTCATTTAAGCAGAACTCTTCTCCTTTGGGTAGCTGCTGTGGTTAGAGTTTTCCATTCATGATCTCTATGATTTGTTTTAGCACAATGGGCACAAATGATTTATCACAGTCCTCACATATAATATCAATAGGTAATTCATGGGATTCACACATTTTAAAGAGTACTAGAGGTGAGCCCATTTGATATTCTTTCGAGGTACTTTCAGCCATTATTGTCAGATGAAGCGACCTTGGAAATGAACTTGTTTCTAGTGTAATAGTGTGTGCATGTTAAATAATACTCGAATTGTAAAGTTGGACTTTAAATTTATCAAAAGACAGGTTGACACGCAATGATTTGTAAACATACAGGTGTCTACTGGTGCGTTGGACTGTACAGAACCGGAATCTCTGTCTAGACTGTAGCTCTACTGGTTTGTACTTATAACAAAGGAAGAGAAAAGAAGCAGTTGGAACTTAAATCTTTACAAAAGCAATAACTCGAATAATGATCCTTGATTAAGTCTCTTTGTGTCAAGATTGCAATAAGACTACAAGTGAAGGCGTAGCTTTAAATAAATTTTTTACAGAATTTTCAAATTTAATTACTATGGCAACATCAATCAGCAAAATCACAAACACAAAAACTGATTTTATGTATCTCAGTGTAGTCTACGTGCATGCCAAAGTATATTATAATCAGACTCAAACTGCATTTGGAGTATCATTTTGAAAGTACCGTATATAGTCGACTATAAGTTGGTTGTATTTTTAAAGCTTATGTTAGAAAGATTGACCTTCTAAAATTCAAATCTCTTTATATCTCGTCCATATGGCGGACAGAGTGTTGGACCAAAGTTTAAGTCCAAAAAGCCAACTTATAGGCGAGTATATATGATATTTCACAGAAAGTTCTATTTTAAGTAACCAAGGCAACACCGTTTATCGAAATCAAAAACTGATACACAGAATTATGTATCCTATTGTAGCCTCTTTTTGTGCCAAGTTATATTGAAATCAGACCAAAACAGTAGGAGGAGTAGCGTTAAGAATATTTTTACAGAAAATTTCTATTTTTAGTAACCACGGCAACAACGTTTATCGAAATCAAAAATTGATACACAGAATTATGTATCTTAGTATAGTCTACTTGTGTGCCAATTTTATATTGAAATCAGACAAAAACTGTAGGAGGAGTAGCATTTTGAAAGAATTTCACAAAAATTTCTATTTTGAGTAACCACGGCAACACCATTCATCGAAATCAAAAACCAATACACAGAATTATGTATCTTAGTGTAGTCTACTTGTGTGCCATGGTATATTGAAATCAGACTAAAACTGTAGGAGGAGTAGCATTTTGAAAGAATTTCACAAAAACGTCTATTTTAAGTAACCACAGCAACATCATCCATTGAAATCAAAAACCGATACACAGAATTATGTATCTTAGTGTCGTCTACGTGTGTGCTAAGTTATATTGAAATCAGACCAAAACTGTAGGAGGAGTAGCATTTTGATACAATTTCACAGAAATTTCTATTTTTAGTAACCACGGCAACACCATTCATTGAAATCAAAAACCGATACACAGAATTATGTCTCTTAGTGTAGTCTACTCGTGTGCCATGTTATATTGAAATCAGACCAAAACTGTAGGAGGAGTAGCATTTTGAAAGAATTTCACAGAAATTTCTAATTTTAAGTAACCACGGTAACACCGTTCATCGAAATCAAAAACCTATACATAGAATTGTGTACCTTAGTGTAGTCTAATTGTGTGTAATATTGAAATCAGACCAAAACTGTAGGAGGAGTAGCATTTTGAAAAAATAAAATTGTTAACAGACAGACAGACGGATGGACGACGGACGCATGGCTATCGCATAAGCTCTTTTGGTCTCTGACCAGTAGAGCTAAAAATGATATAAGTTCAAGAATGAATAAATTCATAATGGGAAGTTTCTTCTCAAGGAAAAGGGTATAGTCAGAAGGAAATGGTAATTCAATTTTAAGCAAACGTGCCGTAATTGATAATCCGTGAAATATGAAATTTATTTATTAAAATAAGTTTGTTCAAATGAGGCACTACAATGTACCCTCCTCTGAAGAGAGGTATTTTGAAATACGATAATTAAAGGGCATGAATTAACTCTTCTAAAGGCAATTAGGTTTTTAAAGTAAACCTTTTGCGAATGCTTAACGACATCATGTACATTTAATTTTAAAAAGTTCTATTCATCTACATGAAGGTAAACGATTGTGCAACGTTTAAAAAAAAACAGGTAAATCATCTCAAGAACTGCATAGTTCTGAATAGTTTTAATTAGCAATCACCCACAAGAAATCAGTGAAATCCTAGTCCCTTAAGTAGGTTTCTCTATTGAAAGTTCAAGCCCCTAGTCTAGTCAAACCTATTTCAATAATCAAAGTACTGTGAGTACGAAAGACGGTTGCATGAATGATTTTGTTTGTTTAACGTCCCTTTTGAGAATAAATGTTTAGCAGCGAGGGATATTTTTGGGAGTTGAACTATGTTCAATCCATGGTCATCACGTATTTAACAATAATTTGTTATACTTTGTATTTAACAGTAATTTGTGTTGATTACATAGAGACGAAAGCGAGGCTACTGTGTCGGCTGATTTACTCCAATGATATTCAACAGAAAACATGCATAAACATCCGCCACAAATAGTTCATGTCATTTTCTCCTGAATTAATCTTTTTTCCATAATGTAAGTAAATGTAATGATAAAGTAATCTTATTTTGAACATTAGAATTCGTTCAAAGTACATATGTTAAACTAAATTATAAGGAACCATGAAAGTTTTTCGTAATGGAACTCATTTTTAGTGTAGCGTCATACACTGAAAGAGATACGAACGACAACTCCACATACTGACGGCAAACGTTAAATTAGTCAAACTTTTCATGAACATTTTCTTGGTTTAATTGAATTTGTTAATGCATAAAAACTTTAGGAAACATGCGTATTTATTACTTAATCAGCAGTATCACCTGCCAAAAGCGGTAAAACTAGTATCTGTTATAAATATTAAAACCAAAGACGGTCACCGATGTTTTCGTAAAATCACGATTAAAAACAACAAAATAAAGTATATTTTTTTAATAAAAGAAAAACCTCATTTACATACCCGATAATTTGTATGCACAAAACTCTCGCATATACCACTGTTTTATGTTTTGTCAATAAATATTTGTTTTTAACTTGGTATTGCTCTTTTCTTCACAATATTAAAAAAGATTAAGTTCTGACATACTCCATGTATAATGTTCGTGTAATTGAAATACATTTTTATTCACTGAGAAGTTTTATACAAACAAACCTGTTTGCTCTTAAAAGGATGCTGTGTTTAAATCCACATTTTATCAACATTGATATTATTCCTGCGAAACTGAAATTTTCATAACACATGAGTAAAGGTGCAAAGGGAAAATATATTACAAATTTTAAGACTGTGAGCAGTGATATAAATGATCAACCTTCTCTAATATGAATATAATGGCAGTGTGCATGTTTTGCCATGGGAAACCCAAAATATGCATAGGATGAAAAAGTAATAGAAGCACAACGGCAATATGTAATAAAGATTCTATGAAAATTTTGTTCAGTGGTGTTAGAGGAGTTGCGGATAAGAGATGGGTATACCTAAAGTGTAACAAACAGATGGACAGAAATCACGATTAATAAATCCCCTTCTGCTTTTCAAGCAGGGGTATAAAAAGGACTAATGTAGGCAGGCAAGCATTATGGCCCATGCATTTATTTTGGTATTCAATGTCTCTGAATGTCTTTCTCGATCAAGATTGTTCCAACTCAAAAAATTTGAAACAGTTGTCTGTATTTGAAAATACAGACATAATGATAATTAATAATGTAATATTGTCCACTCACTTAACCTCCCGATCTAAGATTTTATTTACACCATGTTCAACTCCAATGAGTGCTTTCAGTACTTTGACTCTGGCTAGCAATTACTGCGACAATGGATCCGAATTAAGGGCGTGTCCCGCAATGTGAGTCGAATCCGCGGCGTAATGATGCACTCCTTCAGGTCCGTGACTCCAGAGCAAACCTGCTACGGCAAATGGTGACTGTTATTAAATAAGATAAAACGTTGTGAGAATTTGTAAAATGATACGGAAATTATAAAAGTTTATTTCATTTTTTTTCAAAATACATGTATATGTATTTTGATTTATAAATCTATATTTTTGTACTTAAAAGTAAAGTGTTTTAAATTCTCACTTTTTAAAAAAAACAAACTTCAAACTGATATATGCATAAATAAAAAAAATAATGAGATTTTATATAATGTATTGTGTCGCTTTATGACACATGGATGATAATGTCAAAGTGTCTTTTCCTCTTTGCTAATTACAAATTGGATAACTCCCACTTAAAGAATTTCACTAATGCACACAGTTGAGTTTCCCTTAATAACAGTCAGGAACCCATGTTGCGCACAAATGGGACCTTGTGAATATTTATGTGTATTAAAGTTACGGTAAAAATTTTTACTATCATTCAACTAAATAGGCTTATATATTGTCTGTCAACATTGACAGCGTCTTTCGATATTTCTATAGGTATTTGATCTACTCGTGGATTTGATTTTTAAAAAATCGCTAAGAAAACTCCCATTTCCCTTGTACACTAAAGATGAAAAACTGAACTGCTTTCCTATTCGTAGCTACGTCATCGAACGTCGCCATTTTTTGTGTGTTGTGTTTACCACTTTCCCATTTCGGATGCTTCGTAAACTGCCAAAAATTAAGCAAATGCCTTTGATACATGTCATGTAATGTCATAATGTTTACCAAAATCTTTTTGATACTTTTATTTAGTAAATAAAACTCGTGTATTTAAAAAAAAGTTTCTTTTTATCGTGCATATGTACATTAAAGCTTGTTAATAAAATATTCTGTCTATTTTTTATCAAAAGGATTCAAATACACTAAAATATGCCAAATAAATACTTGCTAAAAATTTCATCTCACGGCGCCCATTATTTTACGAGAAAAATGCTTTGTCTGTATATCTGTATATGTAGCTCTATCCAGAATGGGAAAGTATCGTGCATTTCGGCAGTGGCTTGCGATGATGCTATTTCTCATTCGTAATATAATTAATACGTCAATAATTACTAATTAATTAATTCATCTTTAATATTCAGTCATTGTGCAATGCATAGCTTTGTGAACACAAGTAGAAGACTGAACTAAATACAGCCCAATAAAATCGTAATAATCCTATCTCTAGTAGCCTTTCATGCACATGTATTTGAATACCTTTTTGTACACTCTTTAAAGGGTAAATTTTATTAGAGGCACGATAGAGTTACCAAATAGGAATGAAATATATGTGTAACTTCTTTCCGTTACAATCTTTGTAACTATAGCCTTGACAAAGTATTATCCGCTAAGTCGTTTTTTTGTCGGAGATAATCAGGCAAAGTCATATATTTCAAAAATAGAATGGTTATAAAATTTTATGGCATCGTTTATACGCCAAACAATCCCTTTTATTAACTGGTTAAGATGTCGTGATCTTTTTTCTTCTTTCTTAAAATATATTTATTCTTTTTTCTAATATAGCATTGTAAACAGATATTATAAATTAATTCAAACAATCAAAAGACTTAGTTTAATTAGAATAAACTACTTAAATTTTATTGTAAAAAATTCTACAAAATAGTATACTTTGATCAACTTCTGTTTTTACTACCTACTTTGAGCAAGAACTCCGAAAAGGGTCATGGCTCATAGCCAAGGCGTCAATTCTTTCCAGAAGTTATAATGATCTTTTCTATAAACAAAAATTCGAAAAACCTCGAAACAAAAAAAAACAAAAAACAAAAAACAGCGGAAGAAAAATGATCACAAACAAAATAGAAAGGTCGAAAGACATAAATATTTACAATAAGTAAAAATTGTAAATCATTGCAACCATAATTTTAGCAGTTGCATCACGTAAAATGGCGATTTTAAACTTTATTATGATAAAACAAAACCAGTACGGAAAATAATTCTAGTTACAGTATGAATAAGTGCGACTTTGATAACAAAATATGAGAACTCTTTTATCGTGTACAGCTACTGTACCGCAAGGTTTGACGATTCCTGATGAAAACATTTTCTCATTTTACCCTTGTTATTTCATTCAAATGAATTCAATCAATTTGTATATACATTCATAACTTGCATTTGTCCTTTAATGTACCCCATCGATATGCCATTGAGTAATTCCAAAATAAATATCCGTTTTACATTTTACACTGTATATCGAAATACTTTGACAAGTCCATTCAAGTATCCCACCCATAGTGAAGACTTGTACAGTGATAATCTGCATGGACGATTCACTTCATTTTTTATCAGTAAGAACTTCAAGAACTCTGCATCAGGACTCAGAAGGTGTAACTGTTTATTTCGTGGGTCAGTAACAAGGATGTTACAGAGGGAGTCACACACTACATCAGTTGGATCAAAGTCTTTTATTAGGCTCTGTCCACGGTAGACAGACTTCAAACGACCAGAGGGAGACATGATCACTAGTTCCCCTTTAGCTGCACTTGTGCAGTTCACAATACAGATATTACTGTTACTGTTCTGTTTGACTCTGTGTGGTAACGTAAACAGTCTGGTATGACCGTCCTCCTGGTACTCATACTCATGGATGACATCGCCTGTCGCTGTGATGTGTCTCACCAGACGTCTGCTGTGTGACTTTAATTTGTAATCGTCTGATTCCTTGTCTTTCAAGGTGACCAGTAGTCCACCGTCCACTGACCGACAGATTCCTAATGGTTGCAGTGGATCTGTACTAATGACTGTAGAAACAGATCCTGATGGTGAAAGGCAACTGATGGAATTGTTACTAAAATCAGTGAAATATACATCACCATTATCATGATTATCAGTCGCATACATGTCATTAGGATTTATACTAAATATTTGTTCTTTTGTGCCTTGCTGATTGACTTTTTCTGCATAATTTGAATTAAGTTCATTTATATAACACTGGTCTTTAACGATTGTCTCCAAAACTTGTATTGCTGTACCTCCATATTGAAACGAGTTTATTTGCGTCACACTAATATCATCGAAATCTAAAGTTTTTCCAATCAAAGTGTCAAGAAAGTCATTATTGATTTCACCTTTTATAAACCTCACTGAATGTTCACATTCTGTCATATGAACATCAAATCCAGACAGCGTTTTTCTCAGTTCTCTGTCGTTTTCAATGAAACTGTAATCTGAAATGGTGTTTTTGTTTTTCTCCATGAATTCCACTGAGTCAACAATTCCTCTCTTTTTCTCTAACTCAGATTTCACATTGTTCAGTTGATCATTCTTTTTAACTAAATTGTCTCTAAGTAATTGTTCATGGTGTTTCTTGATTTCTGTCAGCTTGTTCATAATATCTTCACAATGATTATGTAGCCTTTCAATCTCATAGTCACACGTTTCTTTATTTTCTTTGATCTGTTGCAATATCATCTCCATCTTTGCATCAACTTCAGGCAGATCCTCTTCCTTGATCTTCTCCAGAAATTTCTGCAGACCTCTCCTCCTTTCGGTGGCTGCCGTGGTTAGAGTTTTCCATTCATGATCTCTATGATCTGTTTTAGCACAATGGACACAAATGAATTTATCACAGTCCTCACATATAATATCAATAGGTAATTCATGGGATTCACACATTTTATTGGGCACAAGAGGAGAGCCCAATGTATATTCTTCCAAGTGACTTTCCGCCATGGTTGTCAGGTGAAGCAACAATTGAGAATAGCCTATTTTAGTGTCTTTGTGTGTGCATGTTAGTTAGTTACCGGAACAATAAAGTTGGTTTTTTAAATTTTTCAGCTAAGTAGCTAAACGTGTAGTGAATAACAAACACACAGGTGATATCTTTACATTCAATTAAAATAAACTCTATATTCCACAGATAAGAGGTATTCCAATATTTATTTCATAGTTTCACGACCAGGAACACATTAAGTTCAAAGACAGTACCGTTGTCAGAAACCTTTAAAGTTAAGGTTCATAAACCCTCTGCTCATTCATATAAAATTTTTCTTTAATTTCATGATTTTCCAAAGAAAATGTATATGCTGAATAAAAGACAAAAAATTAAAGCATGACTGTCGGGGCAAAATGTGACAAAAATGGCACTTAAACTTTACAAATTTATAAAGAAATAATAGACATTTGTGTCATTAAGAGTTATCTCTCTTATCAGAGTATCAATGTACCTTAACCCCCTTCCCCGCAATCACGCATTTTAACGCATATACCGTTTCCTATTTCTGACGCAAAATTTCGCATTTACCGTTTCCCCGCAATCACGCACTTTTCACGGACTTTCAAAAGTACGTTTAATCTTCAGTTTAATACCAATTCCCTTTTATTCTATACTTGTTAATATGTTTTAAAATAAAAAAAAGTTTTAATCTGATTAAAATATTACGTCATAATCGATTTTAAACGTCATTATTGAGTATAGATGACGCAATATTATTGATTTTGTGAATATGATAGAAATATGACAAATTCGTCTCCAATAGCAAATTCTGATATTTTTCGGAGTCTTTATAATTCTGACAAAAGTTCAGATGAAGGAGAGACCGACAGTGACTAAAGTCCTTTTGACTAAGACTCAGAATCAAGCAGCAGTAGTGATGTTGAAGAAAGCGAGGGCATCGCACCAAATTGGACTTCAAGTTTAGAAGAAATAGCGCTCCCGCCTTTTCTTGGCACCACCGGGCCCACACATAATCTAGAGAATGACACTGAAGAAAAAGACTTTTTTCAGCTTATTTTCGATGTTGATTGCTTGAGTATATTAACAGCAGAAACAAACAAATATGCATGTATGCAGCAAAGACAGAATGGTAAGAAAAATACTATTGATTATAAAAATTACTTTGCAATGCAATAGGAATGTTGTACTTGATTGCATGAGCAGAACAGCAGAAACGCAGGAACGCAGGAACCAAGCGCATAACTAGCTGTGGAAATGTAATTGCATACGCATAATTATTTAAGAAAAAAATGAAGATAGAAAGCTATTTGGAGTTAAATAAAACATTACCATCCACAAAAATATTGTGCTTAAATGTATGAACAGTTTAAAATTATTTTGAGTCATATTGTTCCAGTTCAATTTTTGTTTGATATCATTTCAACCGGAACACGACATGGCATAAATTTTTGCAAGGAAATAAATACTCGTGTCAGGAAAAAAAACAAAAAACTTCTAGGTACTTGACCCTTAGCACCTATCAGGGCACCGTCCCGGACCCGCTTTTGGGCTTACGGCAGGGGCTGCCCCCCCCCCTTCCCCAAACCTGCGGTATACTTTACATTCATTATGAATATGTGTTGCACGGCAATTTTTTTTCATTAAAATAGAAAGATAGGTCTGTCTGATTTTCAAAATCAAGTATTATATTGTTCAGGAGCCTACTGTTATTACATAAACAGAGTGCTAAAATAAAACTCTCTCTCTCTCTCTCTCTCTCTCTCTCTCTCTCTCTCATTTTCAACAGTAAGCTGTAATTAGCACTCCTAGATGTACTTATCAAACAAACATTCTACGATAAATAAATAAATATTGAAGGTTAATTCCTACAAAATTAGTATAAGATTGATTAAATATTCATTTGGAATAATTCACTTTAAATTATGCTTTCTTCTCTTTTTTCTTTCCATCGTTTTGTGATCAGGGTTCTACCAGTCTAGTATCTATAACATTAATCTGACTGGTATGCATGGTTTACATTTCTTATCTGCAGAAAAAAATAATATACCGGGGTATATAATTGTGTACTGGTATTTTCTTTATCAGTGCCCTTTTTAGGAAATGAAATAAAAAAGGGGCGGGGCCCTTGTAACCCCCCCCCCTCTAGGAAATGAAAAAAAAATCATTCATTGAAATAATTCAAAATTTATAAATCCTTTGAAAGATTATACAAAATTCTCATCTTTGGTCACGGCGGACAGACAATGATATAATAAAAGTTCCCACTATATCTATGTTACAGGTCATGATCCGCATTGGTACAATTGCACTACAGAAGAGATGAAAGCATATATTGGACTTTTGATATAAATGGGCATCAACAAGCTACCGGATTATAAACTTTATTGGAGCAAAAACAAGTTCTTGGCAAATGCCGGTTTTCAGAATGTCATGCCAGTAAAACGCTATGAAAAACTCACCCAGTATCTACATTGTAGTTCAGTTACTGATGACAATGATCAATTGTGTAAAATCCAAGCCTTGATGGACATGGTGTCATAAAACATAAATAAGTCATACAGTCCAGGGCAGTACCAAACTATTGATGAAGGGATGATTGCCTACAAAGGCCGCCATACGGTTGGTTATTTTTTAATCTAATTTTTTCAAATAAGTAAACAAGCTTTACTTCCACAGCTTCAATAAAAAAAATTGAAACTTTTTAAAAGCCCATCTATAAAAAGAAAAATTGTGCGAAATGATGTAAATTAAAAAAAAAATGGAATGTCAATTAATTAGAACTATTCTTGATTATATTAAAATATATTTATATTAGGCTAAACAGTATATACCATCAAAACCTGTTCGCTGGGGCCTTAAGGTGTGGTTACGCTGTGATAGTGTGTCTGGTTTTTATCACCAGTTTGAGGTGTATATGGGGAAAGCACGTGGTCAGCGACAGAGTATTCCGCTGGGCCAGGGTGTGGTTGAGAGACTTACCGAGAGTCTTGTGGCAAGAACTTTCATGTATTTTATGACAGTTTCTTCACATCGATAACATTCGCTAAAGTTCTGTTATCAAAAAAAATCTTCTCCTGTGGAATTATAGTAAGGACCAGGAAGGACTTTCCCACGGACTTGAAGTCCCTCCCCACACTTAATAAAGGGGAGTATCTCATCAGGTACTAATTTGTTACTGATATTTTTTTTTGGACATTTAGAAATATGAAATTCCAAATCAGTGTCAAATTACTCAACTGATGAATTTAAATATGCAATTCATTCCAGTGAATTCAAAGAGTTTAAAATACATGTACATGGATTAAAATTTTATTTATAGACAGGATGGACAATTGACGGCCACCGTCTGGATGGATACGAGACCCGTGGCTGTGCTAGCGACGAATTCTTCTCCTCAACAAAAAAAGTGCACCCGCCTCACGAAGACTGAAGGACGGATCTGCAGTGGTAGTTCGCCGTCCCGAGTCCATCGTAAATTACCAGAATTATTTCCGAGGGATGGATATTTTTGATCAGTTAAGATCAAAGTACACTATAGGTAGAGTCGAAAATGGTGGAAATACTTATTGTATTTCCTCCTTAACTTGGCCGTCATCGACTCATTTATTATCTGTAAAGAAAGTGGTCAGTCAAGGAAGAAAAGATACAGTCAACTTGATTTTCGATTGGCGTTAGCGGAGCAATTGATTGGACAATTCTCTGGAAGAAAAGAACCTATTTCCAGTCACAAACTTCCAAGTATGACAGGCCATATATTTGTAAGGTTGGGGAGATCCAGGTCCTACTGCAAGCGGTGTTTCGTGTTAACACCCAGGAAAAGAAATGACACTTGCTACGGGTGTGGCGTCTGCAATATTCACTTGTGCAGCAATTCCTGTTTTAATGATTATCATGGAATCCAACAACAGCAAGAGGAATAAAGTTATTGTTTGATTGGTAAAATAAATTGCTGCAATTTCCTGATTTCTTTCAAATAATACATCAATTTTCGGGGGGGGGGGGGGGTGGGGGGGGGTATTTTAGAATTCGTTGGTTTCACTGTCGATTATGCAAATAAATTGATAAATAAAACTTGTATTTTTAAAAATTAAAATTTAAACCTTAAAATCTAATATATAAATTATAAACATTTCTTGTTTTCAAATACATTTTGAAGTTCTTAAACAATAACTACTACACTTTGCAAAATATATATATATATATATATAATACGTAAAGTTGTTTTTTCTTTTTTTTTATTATTATTTACGCTTAACTTTAGAGAAACTTGAATCGCGCTATAAAGTGCTTGCGGGGAAAAGGTAACGTGAGGTTATGATAAAATCCGTCCGGCGTCATGACTTTAGATGACAGGTCATGAGCATTTTTTTTTTCATTTTTGGTGTTGTATTAATTACAGTCGTTAAAATAAAATAATAAAAGAGGAGTTTGCGTTGGCAATATTAAACCCTGGTGAAATCAAACGTGGATTTCATTAATTTCCCTCTGGGATGTTATATTTTTTGTGAATAGAATATTGTATCTATACCAATTGGTGCAGTCAGTATCAAGACATGCTATAAGCCTTTTCCAAAAAAAAAAAATAGAACAAATTAAAAATTAAAATTTTGATTTATTATTATAATTTATGTCCGTTGTCATGACAAGATAGGAAAATTAAGTCCGTTGCCATTGGTCCGTTGTCGCTACTGTATTGTACATGTACGTACATGTATACACTATGAAGGAGGTCGATTTAGGATTTTTTCATGCTTTGATAAACTTCAAGCATGCCTTCAATAAATGGGTGAACTGTTACTCATTAGTCATAAGGAACTAAACGTATGCTATTTTTTTTATATTTCATACATAAGGGATTCAGCCTTTTCCTTTATAAACTAATTTGAAAATGAAGGAAGACATACGCACGCTAACTTTCGACTCCCGCTTACATTCTGAACCCATTTAAATCAATATTAATGACAAATTGGCCATTGTTTAATACAAAAAACAGTTC